ACAATGATCTGCAGGATTCAGGAGTGAAGCTGCTCTCTGATGGACTGAAGAGTTCACACTGTCAACTCAACATACTGAGGTTTGTGATTTGTAATAAAATGCAGTTGGTTGAGACAATAAATGATCTGTTCAGGGTCTGGAACTTTAATAATTTTGCATACTGCAGTAATTAGTAATTAGAGACATGGTGAAATAATAGTATTGTCTATGTCTAATACAAAGAGTATTGTCATGTTTTTGAAAGATGTATAAGAATAATTAAATGAGGATCATTTGTAGATCAATGTCTCTGTTAAATGAATAAATGTAAATGTGATAATTGTACTTTGTTCTGTTTAGACTTATAGACTGTAATCTCACTGATGAATGCTGTGAAAGTTTGGCTTCATATCTACAATCAAACTCACTGAGAGAGCTGGACCTGAGTCACAATGACCTGCAGGATTCAGGAGTGAAGCTGCTCTCTGATGGACTGAAGAGTTCACACTGTCAACTCAGCATACTGAGGTAATAAAAACAGATAAGAGATTCACTTGATTATGACAATAACGATACCCTCAGCTCTGGTCCTGAATCTCTGGGTTTTTGTAATATATCAGCAGACCCCATTGTGTCTGAAGACTTTTTTTTTTATTGTCTATTTACTGACTAAAATGTCAATGTTTGAGGAGTGGATATGAACAGAAGCTGTTAAAACACTGAACCCAGAGTTATTCCAGCTGAACTAAACCTGTAATCAGTGATCTTTGGATAAAAAGTGCTACAATGAGGAAATTGATTTAAAGCAGAGTTACATGAATCTAAACACTCTTGTGTGTGAATCAGTTTAAGATGATCTCCAGTCCCAGATGATGTGATGTTGAGAGTGAGTGTGTGTGTGTGTGTGTGTGTGTATGTGTGTTTGTAGGTTATCTGGTTGTATGGTGACAGAGGAAGGCTGTTGTTTTCTAGCTTCAGGTCTGAGTTCAAACCCCTCACACCTGAGAGAGCTGGATCTGAGCTACAATCACCCAGGACAATCATTAGTCAAGCTGCTCTCTGATCCAAACTACAGACTGGACAAACTCAAGTATGTTCAACACTAACAACCATCCTGTCATTTGTGTTTGTACATGTGTGCACTATAAACTCACATGTACAGCTGCAATCAAAATTATTTAACCCCACTGACCTAAAAGACATTTTGCTGCTGAGAACTAACAAACAAATGCATCAGTAAACCTAATTTACTCTAAACATTGAAACACTGTTTAAAATAAATCTAATATACTCTAAACATTGATGTGCAAAATTATACAATCCCCAAAAATCAAATTTTGTGCAGAATCTTTTATTCTTTATAACCTCTTCTTCTTAAGAGTGGCATTTGGCGAGGTGTTCTGACATGAAGGCCATGGTTGTTTAGTGTTTTTCTTGTACTCTACAATGAAATAAATGTCTCAAGGAACCTTCTTTGTGCCCTACTATATAAACAAGTGGCTTAAAAACATCCATGTTGAATATGGGGTGAATAATTATGAAATATCTGTATTACACAATTCCTGTAACTTAAAAATATTACTTTATAGTTACATTATCACCATTATTATGCCACTTAACTATAGATAATATTTTTAAAAAGCTCTTGATCTTCAGAAAAGCATACATTTGTTAATTATTACAGTCTTGAATAATTTTGATTGCACCTGTATATAGATCCATGCATACAGCACATATATACATACTGCACAGGAAAATAATGATGTTTGAACTCTGTTATTGAAGATTATCTTGATTCCATAGGATTATAATAACAAAGTATAAATTCTTTGTAATTACGGTCAGTTTTAGATATTTCTACTTTACTCAAGTATGGATATTTGTTAACTTTTATATTTCACTGATTTGTAATAGCAAATTAATGTCAAAGTCAAATAATAAAATACGCTCACCAAGCATTTAACAGAGGTGTTGTGTGTGAATCAGTAATTGACTAGGTGTACTGAAGAATGTCTAAAAAAAAACTTAATGCCATGTGATAAACAAATAGTAACATTTATAACATAACACAAGTACTTAAATACTTTGAATACATAAAAAATGGATAGTTGCATAAAGACCCAGGTCAAAACAGCTCATCCCCAAATCTCTATGATGTCTGATCTGTATAGTCTGCTTTGTATTTGTAGTAGGACACTTTCTCAGTGAATTGTTCAGCAGTTCTGAGGGAGAGTTCACCAAAAAAAAAAAAAAATGTCATGATTAACTCACCCTTATGATGTTTCCAACCTGTATTCAGTTCTTTTCTGTGGAACATAAAGGAAGATATTTTAAAATATTTAAGTTTTTTTGACCCCTTTAACTTTCATTGCATGAACAAACTTGTTCTTCAAAACATAGTGTTTTGCAACAATATGAGGGTGAGTAAATGAACAATTTTAATCTTTGGGTGAAGTATACTTTAACTCTTACATATTCCAACAGAAACTTGATCTTTACTTCTATTCAAGTATGACATCTGCATATTTTAAACAACACTGCTTGATTCAGTTCAACAGCTGCTTGTGACTCATAACAGCAGCAACCGAGAAACAGACTCCAGTCTCTGATCCCAAAACATAAATTTAAAGCTTGCTGCTAATCTAGAAAGTAAATTCTCATTGCTGTTTGAGAGCAAAAAGAGATTGAAGATACAAACACAGAAATCATAGACTAAATGAGAAAAAATAATGTTTGATGTTGTAACAGAGATTCAGATAATCACTTTAATTTTATATATTTTTTTATATTTTGTTTTTCTTTTAGTGTGGATCATGGAGGAGAGTTCAGG